AAGCAATAGCATTTATGGCTTTTTGAAATGAAGGGCAATCTAATGCATTAAATGGAATGCAATTGATGATAGCCCATTCAGCAATAGCCATTTTTGCATTGTACTGTACTTCTTTTGTTACAAACACACTCTTGATGCCAAGCTGGGAACCAGGAGTTGTCTTAGGGGTAAAATAATTCTCAACTGAAACAGTAGAAGCTTGCCTCTTATTGGCACCTCTCTCAGGGACTATCTTAATTGGAGTAGGAGCAATTGGATCATTAGTTTCAAGGTCCCCTATGTCTACTTGTTCTTGTTCTTGTTCTTGTTCTTTTCTATCATCAACCTTCCTTTTTCTCCCACCTTTCAAGGACTCTACCATCTTGTGACGTACATCATGAGGAACTTTTTTACAAGAAGCTACTTGACTACTTATACTAGCAAGATGTTGCTTCGTTCTGTTAATCCCACCTCCTCCATAGCTTGATGCACAATAAAGGCAAGTATATATATTTTTCTTGCCTTCTTTTCTTAAGGCAACATGTGCCTAAGCAAGATCAGTTTTTCCATGCATAGATGGGGCCTCAGATGTTGAATTATTACCACTAGGAGGGGGATTATTGGAATTGGAGGTGGGATTCTCATTTCTATCACTACTAGGATTACTTCCAATATCCATGATCAATGCAATAATTATATTTTAACCTACAAGCTAAAATAATAACTAAGCTTCAATTTCATTTTTCCCCACAAATGCTAATTAGTCATATTCAATGTTGATTGCATAGTTTTCAGGTTTGGCCACAAAAAAAGAAGGAAAAAGAAGAAGCTAGATATGCCTTATCTATAACATAGTGCAATATGTAGTTCAAAATTAAGATAGAAAATCACAACATTTTCAAAATGCACACACAGTACGAACCTGAGCAGAGGATATAACATGTGCCTTGAGATTGCAATCTATATAATAGCAATTCACGTGCAAATCATCTCCCTGTCAGATAACACACAACATATGTTAAAAAGATAGAAATTGCCTTTAAGCTGTCCACAATATTAGTTCATGCACATAAAGAATCAATGCCTACTGTGTATTAAAAAAATGAATCAATGCCTATTAACCTCCGCCAGCTTTGATATCTTTTTAAAATCTGAATGCAAAGGCACAACTACTTGTAGTTTTGTTTCTTTAAAGCTATATTGCCAGAATTATAAGACCTTTTCTATTCATTTATCAAGAATTAAACTTGATTAAATCACTGTTAAGCTAAATCACTATTAAGCTAATCACTTAGGATCAAAATCCTCTACAGTCCAGTTGATTAAATCAAGTTGAATCAACAAAAAATCAACTTAAGTTGCCGAACAAGCAAGAAACAAATCAGAGCAACAGAGTCAACCACTTAAACTGAATCACGAAACAAAAAATAGAGTTGAGCACGATCAACAGTGACTAACCTGAAGCAAAGAGAATGCGAGCTGCGTACGCTGAGCTGTCATAAACTGACCAGCTGAGATTTCAGATCGATTAGGCTAGAGAAGAGACGGAAGTCATACATTGAGCTGGAGGAGAGACTAAACAACAGAGATAGAGAGAGAAAGCTGGAGAGGACGGATGGTCGGAGACAAGGAAAGGCAAGAGAGGAGGGTCGGAGAGTCGGACGCCGATTAAGGCGAGAGAGAGGAGAGATAGTGAGACACAGATAAAACTCAGGAAAGGGAAAGGTGATGTTGTTTGGCGTCCGCGTCTGCAATCTGAAATTTGGGCTTCATTTGATAGGCTCTAGATTTAGACCGAAAGAAAATAAAAAAACAAATCCCCCAAAACGACATCGTTTTAGGGATTTTGTTTGAAAAAATTATGACCCAGTTAACCCAGTCAACCCATCAGGTTATCCGGGTTATACTGGGTTGAACCCGGGTTGACCGGGTTACCTCGGTTCATTTCCTTACCGGTTTAGGAGTAAACCCAAATCGGGCAAAGGACCAGGTCACCGATTTATGTGTTGACCCGGCCGGTCCGATTCGGGTTTCAATACCATGCTTGCAAAAGTTTTATTGCCTGATCCTAAAAAGAGAAAAATTGGTTCTAAAACTTCTGATTGTATGTTTATTGGATATGTTAAACAAAGTTCAGCTTATCACTTTTTAGTTTTGAAAAGTGACATTTTAGACTAAAACATAATTGTATAGACTCAGGATGCTGAATTTTTTGAACATATTTTTTCCTTGAAAATTAAGTATGTTTCTAAACCTGTTGAGAATTCAGACTCTGAATAAAACTCGAATGAGGATTTGGTTTTAAAGAGAAGTAAAAGGCAAAGAAAAGAAAAAAGTTTTGGAGATGATTTTTACACTTATTTAGTGTAAGATGAACCGTTAAATTTTTATGAAGCTATTTCTTTTTCTGATGCCAAATTTTGGAAAGAAGAAATTAAAATTGAAATTGATTCTTTAAGAAAAAATAAAACTTGGGTTTTAACAAATTTGTCCCAAAGAGCTAAGGCTATTGGGTGTAAATGGATTTTTAAGAAAAAATATTTTCTAAATGGTTCAATTGATAAATATAAAGCAAGGCTTGTGGCCAAGGGTTTTACTCAAAAGGAAAATATTGATTATTTTAACACATTTTCTCCTATGATTAGAATTTCTTCTATAAGAGTTCTTATTGCTTTGGCTTCAATTTGCAAGCTTTTTGTTCACCAAATGGATGTTAAAATTGCATTTTTAAATGGTGATTTGGAAGAAAAAATTTACTTAGTACAGCCTGAGGGATGTGTGATTCCTAGACAAGAAAACAAAGTTTATAAACTTGTCAAGTCTTTGTATGATTTAAAACAACCACCTAAGCAATGACATGAGAAACTTGATCAAGTTTTGACAAATGGTGGATTTTCTATTATTGAAGTAGAAATATGTGTTTATATAAAGCTTGTGAATAATGATTGTCTGATTATATGCTTGTATGTGGATGACATGTTAATTTTTGGCTCTAGTATATATGTTGTTAATGAAACAAAAAATTTTCTTTATTCAAATTTTGATATGAAAGATATGGGTAAAGCCAAGGTAATCTTGGGTGTAAAAATTATTAGGAATGAAAATAGAATTTTACTTTCCCAAGAATATTATATTGAAAAAATTCTCAAAAAGTTTGGACATCTTAGAGATGCTCCTCTGAGTACTCCTTATGATTCGAGTATGCAATTAAAAAAGTATAAGAGTGACCCCGTTGCTCAATTTGAGTATGCACAGATCATTGAAAGTCTGTTGCATTTGATGAATTTTACTAAGCCTGATATAGCATATGCTGTAGGCAGATTGAACAGATATATCCACTGTCCAGGCAGTAAACATTGAGAGGTTTTGGTAAGAGTTTTGAGATATTTGAGAGGTACCATGAATTATGGCATATTGTATAGTGGATTTCCTGCTGTATTGGAAGGATACAATGATACTAACTGGATCTTGGATTCAGAAGAGACAAAATCCATCAGTGGTTATATATTCACTCTTGATGATGGTGCAATAACCTAGAAGACTACAAAACAAGCAATCAACACAAAATCCTCAAGGGATTCTGAGTTTATTGCCATGGAGCTAGCTGGAACTGAGGCTGAGTGGTTGAAAAACTTCTTAGCGAGTATTTCAATAGGTGAAAAGCGCACACCATCAATGTCTTTACATTATGATAGTTAGTCTGCAATAGCAATAGCTAAAAATAAGACCTTTAATGGCAAAAGTAGACATATTCGATTGAGACATAATATTATAAAGCAGCTGCTCAAAGATGGGATCATCTCAATTAATTATGTAAGATCAGAGTTAAATCTGGTAGATCCGTTAATTAAGCCTCTGGGGAAGAAATTTATTATTGAAACGTTGAGGGAATAGGACTTAAGCATGTTTGAAATTAACAGTGATGGCAACCCAACCTTTATGATTGGAGATCCCATAAAGAAGGTTCAATGGGTAAGAAAAAGTCACTTGTTAGTTTTGCTAGCATTGAATTTTTGTCCCTTTCTATGGCTTGCGAAAGTGTTAGAATGCATTGAATGGAGGCTGAGCGAAAGCTCTTAATGTTTTCATAGTCCTTATGGATGGTGTATTCATTGCAGATACACTTAATGAAAACACCTATATAAATGTAAAGTGGGGCCGCTCCTATGAGATCGTGGCGAAATCTCTAGAGCATTTGTTAAAACTAGGCATGCACATAGCCGATAACGTGTAAAACCGTCATTAACAATAGAGACAATAGGGGTTAATCCGATTAATAAGACCTCTAATACACTCTCAAGATTTATTGGTTCAATAATAAATTTACACTGACTTTTCTGTATGCTAAGTTTTATTAGTCTAGGTTTAGTTCAAACAGACATCAAATTCAAAGTGATTATCTTCCGTGTGAATAACTTAGATGATAATAGATTTTTTTGACACATGAGGGATTGTTGTGTGTGTCAAAAGTTCTACATTACCTAAATGAAGAACTCTCCTAGTGTATAAATACTAAGGAATAAAGTGGGCTAGTAAAATGGGCTTGGAGGAGAAGTAGGCTTGCGTGCAAGAAACAGGCCAACTCAGGGCAATCACAGTTGAAATCAGCTGATTTGCCCCCTTGTGCGCGAGTTCAAAAGGCACTGGGTTTCTTTTATCAGATTATTTTTACAAAATAAATAATTATTTTTAGCTTACTCGAAAAACCTCAAATTTTCACTGTTTAAATTTGAATTTGAAGCCTTTATAGTTTCTAGGCATTAAACCAATTCTGAAAACCGATTTGGTGAGTTAATTTCTTAAACGCCCTTGTCTGCCAACAGCTCCAGATTAATGGTGTTTTATATGTGTGTAACCAAAGCCTTAATCTAGTTATTATGAGCTAACGTTCGTGTCTCCATCTTCAGCCTACATATAGTCATAGGTGCGGATAGATCAACTCACTAGCTTCTTGAGCTTTCAGGGCAATTTTCTCCTCCCTCCAACTTCTGCTGTGTTGTTCATCTGAGTTTATTTTTACTTTTGTTGTTTTGGTTCATTGCTCCTGCAGGAAGTGCTTGTTTAATCCTGAGGAATTATCGGTCCATCATCCTAGTGTGTCAGAATAGTTTTTAAGGACAGTGTCCTTCCAGGCATGACTCAAGCAACTTGTGATTCATGTCCATACTACCAATACTGCCAACAATATCATCACATAGCTTTGGCAGCAACTCAGCCAAATACTTCCAAGTATTGGAATAAGCACCGCGTCCATGTTTGCAAAACGACATAAAGGTTCACATTATTAGGTTTGCTCAACATACTCCAACTAATCTTAGCAAAGAGTGCATCATTCATAGCTTCAATCTTTCTTAACCCCATTGCTCCACACTCCTTTAGCCTACATAATGTCTCCCAATTCACCAAATGCACCTTCCTCCTTTCCTCTGATGTTCCTCATATGAAATTTCTTCGAATTCTTTCAAGTTTCTTGCAAACATTCTTTAATATATACCTATTTTGCATATGAAAAACAACCATTTGAGAAGATGGAGGGATGAAGGGTAGAAGAGTAATTAGGGGGTTCAGTAGTTCTATTCTCTAGTCTAATTAGTGACTTTTGTTAGTGATAATTGGTGTCTTTTGATGGGGGCTTTTGGCTAGCCTTTCGATTGGTTTTGCAAGTGCTTGAGATCGATGTAATAAAACCTTGGAGTATTGCAAGAATCATTCCTAAGGGAAAGCAGTGATCTTTGTTGTTTTTTACAAGACACATAATGAATCAAAGAGATTTGTTTTAAGGGAATTAATTAAAATTGAGGTAAACAAAAAAAATAATCAAACAGTGATCCAATTAGTCAACAAATGCTAGGGATTGAGTTTCGCCTACTATTACTCTTACCTAGATGATATTTTGAATCAATCTAAGTGATGAATGCTACCAAGTTATCTTAACTATCTCTGAATAAATTAAGGTGTGCCTAATTAGTGTTGTATTAGTTCTTGCTAAATTCTGAAGCCTCTACTTAAACCCATTAAGCTACGATTATAGCTGCCATAAGCACTTAGATTGTTACCTCTAATCCAATTATTTATGCCTATTCTCTTAAATTTAAATCCACTCTTCTCCTCTCCTCCTCTTGGCGCATCAAGCGAATCCACAAATAGAACGTAAGGTGGCCAACCAAACATTCCACAATGAAAGTAAAGAGAATAAATAACAATTGCATTAAACCATAAAAACCAGTCTTTCAACAGCAACATGAATCAAAAAAACATAGTGAGTAAAGAGTAAGTTCATCCCAGTCAAGCTACATCCTATCCTGACATGGGATTTAGCAACACATAATCAGATTAGAACTAACAAATATTATGAGAGGAGACATCATATGAAAGTAAGGGAAAAGGAATAGAAAAGCAACTCCCAATTCAGAACAGTGAAGCTCTTGCTTCGCCCCTTGCTGTCTCTTCTTCTGATGAATGATTAGATGCCTCCTCAAGAACCCTAGCTCTCCTTCTTAAGTGTTTCCCTCAGCTTCTCCTTAAGATCTTACTTTAGATCACGCCTCGTCTTATTTAATTTGCCCTAATTTTGCTTCAGCATTATAAAATAGCTCTACTATATGTTTCTGTCCTCAACCGTGGACAGTAATGAAACAAACACTCCCATGTTCATTTTTTTTTCTTTGGATAATTAGCTTCTATATAAAATAAGAAACATTTTCATATCATGAAGTCCATAAATGTAATATAAAACTTCACTACTTATTTGAGAAGTTGAGGCATTAGAGGAAGGTGCGTTAGAGACCCCTAGGCAGAAAAGCATATTAGAGACCCCTAGCCCCTCCAGCAGAAGCTGATATTATTTGCATGGAATTTAACATACACCACAGTAGAAGATGTCAAGATGTCTCCATTAAGGTATGTAGGTTTAGTCCATTGAAAGTAACTCTTTATCTATGTGACTTTCTATAGGTCTCTATTTATTTGACATTGAGAGTTCGTATCTATGACCCAGTTTTGGATAATTTTACCTTGTTTTACATCTCGTTTATTGTTTTTAGGGCTACTGGATCTCTGATTGTTTGAAATCAGGAGTTTATATTTGTGATATGGTCTTATATTAGTTTACCTTGTTTTATACCCCTATTTGGGTTTAGGGTTAAGAGGTTTTGGTATTTTGTATTAGTTTAGACACCTTACATTAGTTGAGTGACACAAATTCAATAGGCACCTTATGCCTTTTCAACAATATTGATAAAATAATTTTGAAAAAGATTTATTTTTTCAAAAAAAAAAAGTGATCATGTTGCTTTAGGTTCTTTGGCGAGCACTTTTTCAAAAAACAATGTTGCTTGTAGGGTTTCCAACCACCAGACGTCTATCACGGACAAAGGTATTTTTGTATAGCCGTTTTATTTTTAGTACCAACCTATTAAGGAACAAGGGGTTTTATTTTCAATTGTCATACATTCTCACTTGAAAAAGAAAGACCACAAAGAAAAGTATCTACTATGGTAGACAAGGTTAAACTAATCCTTTGAATGCCCTTTTACCATGAGAAAAAAGAATACAACATCTTTTGAATAAATATCATGGTAGAATAGGATACGTAAAGTTTAATGCAAAGGGAAATGTTATGACCTCTTTGATGTACTTTTACCAGGTTCTTCAATTGTTATGAGCTATGGCCAACATGTTTTCTCATTAAAATCCAAAACCATTATGCAGAGGTGAGAAGTTTCATCGGTCCGGGGGGAATATAATGGGCCCACTCTTCCATATATACTCACCTCCAGGAGCTTTGCTATTCCACGAAATCAAACCATCCGAACTTGAGATATGGAGGCATACAACAATTCCTGACGATTCACTGCATGAAAATTTTGAGGTATGTCCACTTTTAATTATCACATATCGCTCTTTATTCTCGTTCATTGGATAATCTTTATTTGGAAACCATGATGGTATTTCACTTCCTGAAATAATTGCGCAAAAATCTCTTGGGGTAGATATTCTGGCTGCAACAATACCATACTATTATGAACAGTAATGACTTAAATAGAGCCTGAGAAAAAATACACAAAATGTAACATACGCGCACCTCATTACTTGTGCATGAACCATGTATCAACATATTAAATTTTCTTTTATTTTTGGTAAATGAGACTGAGAAAAGAAATAGTCGCGCGTGTGTGTGTAGTTCAAAAAATATGTATAAATCATTAAATAGCTAGATCTTGAAGCAAAGAAATTCCACAACTGTCTATCTGATAAAGGCTCAATTGAAACACAATCCAATGCATCTAATTGGATCAATCGTGGTGGAAGCCATTGCATTGACTTAAGCCTATCGCATCCATCTAAATAAAGAAAGAGAAGACGAGAAAGACTGGAGAAGCAACTAGCTGGTAGATTAACAAAATCATTTCCTCCTAGATCCAATACAATTAGTGATGATAAACTGCCAAAATCATTAGGAATTGATCCATCAGTATAGCCACACTTAAAGAAATATAACTCTCAATGACGTTAGATCAAAATATGGAACTCGTGTTTATCTGCAGTTTCGTTCAAATCATCAAAAAAGCTATCAATACGTTTCAACTCTCCCATAAACTGATCAAACAAATGATTGCAAAGTCAGTCTCACAAAAAAACTTACTACTAAAACTAGATCAAAAAATTAGGGTTGGGTTTAAAAAGCCCTTGTCCACGAAAGGACTGAGGCTTCTGAAACCCAACCTTATCCCTCAAAGCCCCTCAAAGCTATATTTTTATTTTTCTCAAATAAACAAATATATAACTCATATAATTATCATGATTCAAAGCATAATATCACAAGTGCAAACTAATCCATTCTCTAAGGTCCAAAAAAAATGTTTGAACAAGGATAATCCATCGACATATCAACTCGTCATCAACATCAAGTACTCCAATTTACAAATGACATAGTAAGGATTGAACATTTTCAACATCATCAACAATGCCAACGTCACTATGATTTATCATCTCTATAATCATCAACATCAACAATGAGATAAGTGTAAGGTTAGTTTTAGCTTTTCTGTAGAATCAAAATCTATACAAATTTACGAAATTCTAATTATCATCCTCAATTCATAACCAAAACAAATCATTTAATGTGAGTCATATGTTTGTCAAATATAATATTTACATTCTCATCATTTATATCAAATATGTACCAAATATAAAAGAAAAGAAAAAAGAAGTAAAACAAGCCTAAATGAGTTGGCCTTTGACCCTAGGGTCAACCCCTTTTTAAGGAACGAGTTGGTTTTATCTTGCCCATCCTTAGCATTTTATGGCCAAATGGGGTGGCATAATGTCAGACATGACTCATTTTCCTGATTCTAAATAAAACATCAATATATATATATATATATATGTAAGACAAACGTTTATGCATGAAGCATCAACTTCAGCTACATGCCATTCGAAAGCTGCTTTATGTTGCTACGATACAATTGAATACCAACAATTTTATCAAGTGTAGTTTCAAGAAGGAGAGCTTCAAGAGGAATTGATGGCCATTGAAGAACTTTTAATACACTAGGAGGGCACTTGAGACGACCAAAGAGAAAAGGTTCCAGGATGTACTTCTACTTCACCATGGTCCAAGGGCACAGCTATAGCTATTGCTTTTCATCCCTAATAAAAAATGTGCATTATCAAAATAATAACGTGGGAATGATAGGTAAGTAAAGAAAATTTAAAACTTTACACCATTTCACTAAAATGTGATACTTTAAAAATAAAGCGCTCACCTTGTTATTTTTCAGTACTTTCTTAATGTCCACAGTCTTCCACAACCTGTTGCGTTCACCAACATTGGAGGATTCTTGACAAATAATATACCTACCCAAGTTTTCAAGTAAGTCAAGCATTTCTAGATAGCCTGGTCTTGAAGGATCTTTCTCTTCAACTAGTAAAGACAAATGCAACATTACTACCCTTGTCTAATGATAAAAATGCCTGCTATAAATTGCCATGTCGCTCCTCATTTATGTTGTCATTGTAGACTACTATCTCCTTTCCTTTGGCTTTTCCATTGTTTTCAAAGCTTTCTGGAACTTGCTCAACATTGCTGATGGAAGTTACATTTTCTTGCTGCTGATATTCTGACAATATTCAAACACAATTTAAGATTTTAATTTGTATAACCATCTCTAGCTCACCTATAATGGACAGTGTGGAATGTATAGTTTCAAGAAATCCCCATGTCTATTACGTACGTACCTTGGTGATTGGTGGTCGACCCATCATAAAAGGGTGTTTCCCAACAAGGACACAAGCAGAGCCAATTATTATCTTCAATACTGTGACCTGTTAGTTCCATTATTCTATTTGTTTATATAGATATTTTCATAATGTTGGAGTAAATTGCTTGATTATGCACATACCTTGGTTTCTGAAGGTGTCATGAGTATGCTCTGTCCATGGTAACATTGGTGATGAAATAGTATTCAAATCAAGGTCCATCAAGGATGCTTCTGAACAAGAATACCAGAAGAGCCACTCATTCCCAATATTTGCTTTGTGATTAGAGAGTTTTGGAGCCTCTATTTTTTAATTACTACTACTACTGCTCATTGTTTGGAAGCACTCCTATTGGGTGATCTACAGTTGCGCTTCAAAGCGGAAGCGCTCCCATAAGTATGGCTTCAAGATTACCTAAATGCAGAGCACTTTCAGAGTGCTTCTATGCCTTTGCCAAGAGTAGTTCTTTCGTAGATTTATTTTCGTAATAGTAAAAAGAAGGTAGCCATATTCTCTTTGAAACTTCTGCTATAAACTTATATTTTACATTCTTGTTCAATATAAGTTGGAGTGGCAATGAAATATAGAATGTTAAAATGTGATATGTCAAAGGCCATATTCACCTAAAACTTGGTAAAAATTAATGTAGTCGATTGAAGCCATTGTGTTGTATGTTGTGTACCTTGATTATCAATTATTTCAATAGCATTATTGAAAAATTGGATTTCAGTTGTATTTGCGTTATTGTCATCCTGATTGATTGAGAAACACATTCCCCTTTTTGTGCATCTTAAGGCAGTTGAACTCTGTAGATAAATTGAAACATGTATATTATTATTAACAAGAAAGTCCAATGCTATATGAAAGAGATCAACCAAAAAAAAAAAAGTACGAGCTTACTGAGGCAAAATTGTCGTCCTCCAATTTTCTTTTTGGATGACTAAGCACTAGTTCTTTCTCCTTCATACTTCTGCCAAATTTTTCTGTTGAAGGGCATGCACATAATTAATTTTGTTCCCTATTAGTGCTTTACAACAAAGAATTAGTGAAAATAAAATTAATCATGAAAAGGATCATGTAAAGATGAAAAAAAATGTCACTAAAGAAAGCATACAGATACCCATGTCAATAAAGATAATGCGGCCTCTGCACTGTAGGTAAAATGTTTAGACATTCGAAATTGCTGTTATTGATTTTTTTTTTTCAAAAGTTATATAGTTAATCAAATATATTTTAATCACCTATTAATGCACAATGTCAGCTCATAATATTAACGCACAAAAATAAACACTTTCTGTTAAAAAATATAAAACATTTTTAATCAAATTTCATCCCAATAGAGTAATTACTTTTTTTTCAACTAACCTTATCTTTTCATATTTACTCTTATTAAATATCCTATAATAAATATAAAGTCATTATCAATAGGGGTATTTTTTTAAAAAAAAGATAATAATTATACCTCAAAAGATTAAAAATGTCTTACATTTTTGAACATTCAACTCCTAAAAAAATACGTTACGTTGCATTTTTGAATGGAGGGAGTACAATATATATATATATATATATATCCTATCTTTTCAGAGAAATGGATCCTTATCCATTTAAATTGATCAATAATAAAAAAAAATTATTTATATTAAATCTGATTTGATAACCAAAAACAAAGGAAGACAATGCAAATTTAAAGTTAATTACAGTATAAAGGGAGAGAAAAGCCAGGATATCATTAATTACCATCATTATTAGTGCATTTTGGATTCACATCATCACCATCACCACCGCCAGCACCATATGAGATCTCTATGATTTCACAATCTGTGTATCACAATTAAAGGGTTGAGGGTATAACAGTGAGTGAAGCACCGCCAGCACCATATGAGATCTCTATGATTTCACAATCTGTGTATCACAATTAAAGGGTTGAGGGTATAACAGTGAGTGAAGCAATATTCAATTTTGTAATAATGCAATTTTGTAAACCAATAAAAACTAGTCTAATTAATAAAGATTTGGTCTATAACCTACAAAATCATGGATTTAAATCTTGTTATTGATATGAGAATCTTGTTAGTGGGTGATATGATTTATAAATATTTTTTTAAATTTAAAGACATATTCTAACTTTAATGAGCTCTTGAAATTTAATTCATCTAAACTTTTTGTTAATAAAATAATTCAAAGTAGTGATGATACAAGGGAAGAATATTACTTTGGTCACCACAAGGGGAAACCGATCGTTCATAAGGATTTGTAAATCTGAAATCTTCCTTCTGACTTAGTTGTTTAATTACATAGATTCCACTCTCTTCTATGATCAAAGCCTTATCCACACGTGAAAATGCATCAACCTCTATATTTACATGATTCCACTTATTCTCTCGGCAAGCTCGTTCCATTTTATAATCAGGTATGTGATCCTCTTTTATATTGTACACAATTACATGTTCAACATTTGGTGTGCTCCGATCCCACAAATTACGATAATATACTTCTTCACCATTGATGTACACTGAAGCAGACATAGAAGAATAGGAATGATTTGATTCAAGAGAACCATCTGTTGCTTTAAAAAGAACACAAAGGCATAGAGGTGGGAAGTGGTTACGAAACCAAAAAGAAACAGATCCTCCTTTTCTTCTATGGCCAAACCAGTTTGGGATGCTTGCCATGGGCACACAAAAATATATTTCTCGAAGGAAAAAATTGGTGGAAGAGTGTCTACTTGGAGCTCCAAGTAAATCCTGTGAATCAGAACAAGCGGTGAGCAACATAACACAAACTCAATGGAAATGGATATGTAACTGTAAGGAAAAACAACAAAAAGAGAGAAATTGATGACTGTTGGGAAGTGCACAAATGATAAGTGGAATTAAAAAGAATAAAATTATTAGAAATTATAGATGAGTAAGAAAAAATGATAAAAGATGAATCAAGAAATTTAATGTGAAAAGACCCAATATGAGCTAGAGACTGAACATATATAAAGTGGCTAATAAATAATATCCTATAGAATCTCAATTACAAGTATAATAGACATATGATAGACTTTAAGCCAAAATAATATGGAAAATAAATAAAAATAATTACAAAAAAATTATAAAGATTTGAGTCATAATCTCAACAATTACCTCACTCAATAATAAGTTCTTGGACTCCAAACTCAATGACATGCAATTTATTGCTCCAACAAGTCTTACGTATGGTGGAATCCCTTCAACTTTTCTCAGAAACTTGCACTCATTTAATTTGATGTCCCGCAAAAAATGACATTCTTTTATCCATGAGGGCAAAACTGTGAAATTATTTCCCGTCAAGTTCAACCGTTCCATATTGGTAAATCGACTAAGACAACTTCTAAGGAGCTCATCTGAGATGTTACATCTTGGGAGGCAAAAATTAACCCTGTTGGGACATTGCATGGACCAAATTGACTGTTGATCCTGGGCTGATATCACCTTCCCGTGATTATCAACTATGATCCGTTCTAGTTCTGGCAATAGAAAAATGCTATTTGGGATCTCAATGACCTTGTGCTGTCTAATCCATAAATCTCTGAGCTGAGTAAGATAGTAAATCGACCAAGGCAATTTTTCTATTCCAGTTTCAATTAAAAATAGCTCTTTTATTTTCACTTCTTCAAGTATTTCCGGAAAGTCCTTCAGACGTGAGCAATGATTAAGACCAAGTTCTTTAAGAGATGGCAACTTGATTTCACATGGAAAGGTCTTAAGCCGGACACAACTTGTTACATCCAAGATTTCAAGTTTTGCTAGATAACCAATTGAATTGTGAATTGCGATTAAATTCTTACAATGTTGAAGGTCTAATTCCTTCAAATTTATGAGATTCGATAGATCAGGAATCTCTGTAATATGTTGGCAACTTCTAAGATTTAAAATGCCCAAATTATTCGAAGTCTGCAATAACCAATAAAGCCATCTAAAAATTTCAATAAAGAAATTATCAAATAGATGCTACCTAACAAGAAAATGATCATAAGATAGGGTTCTTATATACCTTAATGATTTCCAGCGACCTCAGATAACTATGTCCAATGTCAAGTACGACAAGCTTCTTTGGATGAAAATCAAGAGGCAAAAATGAAGAAGGATACCTTTGCCACTTCAACACTTTTAAACTGTTAGGAAGATACTTGGGACTTGTTGAACATTTTACATCCTTAAAAATAAGAACTTTGAGGTTTTTCATACTCTTGAAGGCCTCTCCATCCCATTTTATTTCCATGCATTTGGACAAATTGTCTTGAATTATGATACTAACTTCATTTGTGCCCTTTCAAGCCAATAATAAAATCAAACTATGAGATATTAGAAGTTTCATGCATATATAATAATAGATAGAAAGCTTTTTGCCTCAAAGTCAAAATCAAAGATATACTGTGAACTAGGCCCAAAAAGGAAAAGAACATGTACTGTGACATTAAGTAAATGAACCCATTGGAACTAGGGAGAATAACAATTAAGTCTTAAAATAGTGAATTAATACAATTAAGTCCCCGATAATACAAAATGAATTATAAATATTAATTCAAACAATTACAAATAGGAATTTCTATTATAATCTAAAAGTTATATTTAATATTTAAATATTTATCTATAATTAAAACTCTTAAATTTGTAATAATTTGGATCGATATTTTCAATTGACATTTCAAAAAAATTTGTCAAGGACTTAATTGGTGTTAATTCATTGTTTTGAGACCTAACTGTCATTCTCCCTTAGAACTACCCCGAAGACCCAACTAGACAGAAAAATCCATTTATTTATTTAATTCTATTCATTCAATTTATAAAACAAAAGCATGAGTGAATAACTTCACATTACAAGAAAAATAAATATAAATCTCATCAACAAAATGAACTCTTCCAAGAAATTGTGAAAGAACAATAAAATTATAAGACAGAGAAAAAGTAGATAATTTTAGTTACTTAATGTTTTGTCAATAAAATTATAAGACAGAGAAAAAGTAGATAATCTTGATTACTTACTGTCTTGTCTTCTAAAACATGAACAATATCATGATAATACCATAATCTACTACGTCTTCCTGGCTCTTTCGTTGATTCTTGGCGAACAATTTCTCTTCCCATATCTTGTATCAAATCATGCATTTCAATACAACAATTCTCAATCTTTACAAGACATTTGTCCACCAACACTCTAATAAAATAACTTAGGTCATCATAGTCATGAACTACTTCCACCATATGTTTGACATATTCCAAATCTTTCCCTTTGAAAAAACAAGCAATATCAAGGAATATATCTTTTTCAACTTGATCTAAGCCGTCATAGCTCACTCTCAATTTTTGTTGAACGTCATTAGGTGGAATTCTTTTATATACGTCTAACATTGATTCCCACTCATTAATAATCTTTCCACATAAGTTAGAACCTATTACTTCAAGGGCTAGTGGAAGGCCTTGCGCATAAGCTATTGCATGATTCAAAACCTTTAGGTACTTCGGATTTGCTGGGTTACTTTTAAAGGCATTTGAATTCAATAATGTAAAAGATTCTTCATAATTGAATGCCTGAATATCATAAATTCTTTCAACTTCATGTCTTGTAAGTAAATGTTTATCTCTTGTTGTTATAATGATCCTACTCCCAACACTTAACCAACTGCTCTCGCCGGCTAGTTTTTCTAATTGCTCATATTTTGTCAACATTGTCCAAAATCAAAAGAATTTTCTTTTGTTTGACTCTGAGTTTTATTATTTCAACACCTTTTTCAGCATCTTCTATTTTGACGCCCACTCCAATATTTGAAAGCATTTTCTCTTGAATTCCTTCCAGGCCTTTTTTCCTTGCATCTTCTCTAATTTCAGGGAGAAAGCACACATTGTCAAAATTACCAGCAATTGAATTGCACACCGCACGTGCTATTGTTGTTTTACCTATCCCTCCAATTCCACAAATTCCTACCATGTTGACCATGTCATTTGACCCAATTTGTAAAAGAGTGTTTATTTCTTGCACCCGAGACACTATTCCAACATGATGTTTAGGTAGAGAGTAAAGAACCCTATTAATTATTTTTGATATTTCATCCACAATTCTCTCGATCAACTTATGTTCATAATCTTTCCTGAAAAATCACAAAAGTTCATATAAGTGCTAATTAAAGAGCTAGTAAACAGGAAGACCCAGCTTGTATGGATAGTGGCAAACACATGACCTTGAGCCAATGGGGACATAATTATGTAAGATGTAAAAATGATTATTTAATATATAAAATAAATATTTAGTTTTGTCAAATAATATTAGAAAAGAAAAATTAAAATGATATTTTTATGAAAATAATCAATTAATCAAAATTTAAAACCTATTGTACTTAAGTGAAATATAAAATGCCAAAAAAACTTTGAATTCAAATATATTTTAGCTTGAGTCTAGTATAGCAAGTTTTTAAGAATTCCACCTATTCCTTGTAAATTTTTCCAAGTTTAGTGGGAACGCTTGTCCACTCTCACACCAAGGGTAGAGACAGGGGGATCAAGGGGAGCCAAGCCCCACAACCTTTTTAATTTTTTCTTAGTAAAATGTAAGGGTTATATATTTTTGGCTCCTTAAATTGACACATTATAGATTCATGGAGATATTAGACAGAGTTCTTATTTCAATTCTATATGTAGTTTTTTACATATGTATAGTTCTCATTTCCAATGAGACAATGCTACATATGCTTTTAAAGAATTTATATTCATTTAATTTTTCTTTCATTTTATATTTGATGAAAAAAATTATGAGAATTATTGACAAATTTGGTCAAGAATTGCAACAAAAATCCCAAAATATATTGAATATTATATGCTTGATGCCTATTATAAAATCATTTATTCAAAAGTTAAGAGATTATGGTGGTTAAGATGTTCTTCTAAAAAAAAAAAGTTACTTCTTTCTATAATAACAAAGTTATTGAAATGTATAACATTAATGGTTTTTACTTTGATATAATTTAATTTTATAGACATAAAGATTCTATGACAATTAAGTATTATTAACATTTTGATAAATTTACCACTATAATCAATTATCTATTAAAATAATTAAATAATAAATTCAAGGAGAAAGCAATAGAACTTCTTTGACTAAGTACAACTTTGAATCTTAAGGATATAATTGAATAATTTAATGCATAAAAGGAAAATAAAATCTTCACTAATTTAATGATAAATTATATCAAGAAAGAAATTGTAGAAGAGTTTATCATATGCATGATAATTAATGATTTTTTATTCCATGAAAAATTAAAGAAAAAACTTTAAAAATTAAAGTTCATATTTATTTTTGTTATCTATTTGTAGAATTGAATATTGAATATATACATTGAAACATTTATTTTATTTAGTAACATATTTAGATTTAACTTTTCTTCAATTATCATATATACGATTCATCATCTCAACCTCTAATTAAAATTTATAGCCCCACCCCTACAATTATCACTGCCTGCGTGTGCCACTGCATATGGGCTTAAGCTCAAAATCTTCTTTACCTTAAAATTGGTTATTTCTTCATGCTTGACCTTTATTAATCGGTCTCAGGGCTAGGTTTGTAAGCCATTTTTTATTCTTTTATTTTGAAATTTTTTTACACAATGATATTAAATATTCTTTTTTAAACAAAAATTAAAAATAAGTTATATAAATTCTAATTTTGTGGGAAAAAATTTCTAATTTTAAGACATAAATATATATTCCAAAGTTCAAACTTAATTTGAAAATTTGAAAATTTTATCTTTTAAGGATAAAAACAAAAAAAAAAAGGGCCTTAACAAGCCCCTTGAGCAAAATTTTATCTTTTAAGGATAAAAACAAAAAAAAAAAGGGCCTTAACAAGCCCCTTGAGCTCTAGCTTGTTTTTATAAGGCTTAAACATGACTGAGCTTAGAAGCCTAATTACATTAATAAATTTTATTTTTTTTCAAGTTCAGCCATAAAAAATGGGTAGCCCATCAAGCCTAACTCATATTTGCAGCTTTAACTAATTACTTTCATCCTATTCATGTTTCATATGCAAGAAAAATAAAAGCTTTGCCTAATCTGTATTTATTTACTTGAATCAATGCTAGTAGGAAAAATACAAAAAGGAAAAGGATAAAAGCAATGATTTACCTGGGATTATGAGGGAAGCCAGAAAGATTAGCTATTTCATTTAGTGCGAGCTTCCAAGCTTGTATCTTCCTTTCATTAGCCCTGAAGTTTCTTTTATGCATAGTCAATGCACGTCCATAATTCTCTTTTTGATGTCGCACCTCTGATGGATCCACGTCATAAAATATGGGCAAAACCAACTGATCCTTCCCCTTAACGCATTGATGGATCTTGACAAGTTCATTGAGACAATATGTTGAAGAAGCATAAGTGTTAGAAAATACAACAATAGCCATTCTAGAATTTTCAATTGCTTGGAGAAGTGTTGGCATGATTTCATCTCCTTGTTCTAGCTCTTCATCATCCATGAAGGCCCAAATTCCCTTTTGCATTAGAGCATGATACAGATTTCCTGTAAAACCATAACGCGTATCCTCACCTCTAAAATTGATGAAGACATCGTATTTCCAAGAGGCTAACCTTGTCATGATGGCTTCCTAGTGGAAGATCAGAAACGAAGACATGAATGCTAATTAATTTGTTGGTCTGAGTAAGTGCTTGTGTGGACGTGGGAGAGGTAGAGTGAGTGGATAAGAAATTCAGTGGATTGGGACCACATGTAACAGTTAGGCCTGATTTCCACATTTGGGGAGAAAAATATCTGATCTTGGGACTTTTGGTAACAGTTAAGGACCACAGACACATGTACTGTAGTACTTCGGATTTAGGATTTGATAATGCGACCAGAGCTGCTCTTGCATCGACCATAGAAATACCTGAAAGGCCTCGGGATTTTCTCAAAATTTGATGTTAACGTAACTTGCACGAGTAGAAAATAGGCCATTTACACCTGCATGTCTACACCGGTTCAGGTGTACACGGTGTAGAAATAAAAGGCGGTAGATATTTTTGTGGTCACTTGCAAGCCCGACACTTTTGTGATCAACTGAAAACGCTTGCAACCTTTCTCTTCCACTCACTTTATTCAATTTTTTTTAAAAAAACAACCTATGGATCCTGGTTTTATATATATCATGCATGTTTTAGATTCCATGATTAAATAATTTTTTTAGAAAACGTTGATTAAGATTATTTATATAGGATTAATCAAAATCTTCTAAAATTTCCTGAATTTGAAAGCGTCTGAGTTGCATGAATGTAGAGCAATCTACCTCCTTAATTGTATATGAAGCGTAAGTTAAGATTAACTTTATAAATATTAGATATTTATTTTTTTAATACTCTATGTTTTATTTAAATTTCATGATAGAGCACTGAAAATATATTATATGATTAGGGAAAAGCACCACCCATGAAAAAATATATCTCAAAAAAATCTCCCACAGACTTGGATCTTTTTAAACGTAAGTAATTTCAATTCAATACTTTTTATCCACAATTATTTCATATATATTTTTGTTTATACTTATCGTTTAATTTTTAATTTTCAATACCATCACCAAATAGGGAATACAGCGTGTGGATATTATATTATTTGTTATATGTATGAGATTAGTCAATCTAAAACTAATGAAAATTTACACATAGTAAGTTACGTTGTTATTTATTTTAATAATACTAGTTTTGTGGGGCTTTAGAATTTGGATATGTAATGAACATCTGATGAAAATTTATAATTTTTGGACAATGAGTATCCCTATACTAGTGAAGACATAAGTGACATTCAAAAAAATTTAGTAAGTTATCTGCTTCAAGAGCTATTTACATAGTGTTTTGATAGTTGGTCCATTAAGTAAGAATTTTAACAAAAACAATGGAAAGTAGTTTGTTGAAATTTGGCCATAAATATTGATATTTGAATAGGTGACAATAGTTTTGTTATTCCATGGTATGCTTAATTTGGTATATTTTGTTGTGATGGTGTATAAATGACTATCAATATGAGTTGCTATTTGCTAGATTTTCGTTGTATAAATGGCTATTTCTATGGCATACTTTGGCAGGTTCTATTTTGATTATAAAGCAAATGCAAATTATATATTTAAAAAAATTCTAAAGGCCACATCACAAATATTAAAAGAGAGACATCGTATACATACCAAATCATGTCACTACTATTAAAAGGGAGACATGGTTTCTCAATTCGTGAAGATGTAGGAGTGAGAAACCACGTCCTCCTTATTAGAAGGGGGCCTTATTTCTATATAAACTACATTCTACTCACCAAATATTTTTATAAACTACATCACCTTTATATCAAGGGCGACGTGGTTTGTCTATAAGCCACGTCCTCCTTTATTAATGTTTTCTACTTCATAGATATTTGTGATATAGATAAGTCATAATTCTAAATCATCCAGTATGATGTCTCCTCCAATTATAATATGGAAAGACCTATAAATACAACATGAAAATGCTATTTTGTAGTGGCAGTTGAAAACAGGACACACATATAAACATACACACACATCCAAAAATGCAATATACACGCATGCGCAAGCACAAGTTTATTTGAAACTGTGAGCCAATCTCCTATAGCAAGAAAGGAAAGTTTCTGCGTTACTAGCTAAAGTGAGAGATTTTTGAGGCAATTAATGAAACGAACCTGGACGGCGGAGTTCATAGCATAGCTAGTGTCGCCTGTTCCTTCGTTCATGTGAAGTACTTGCTCAACCTTCATGTCTTAGCTTCGCGTGACAAAATGTTGAGAGTTGAAGGGACTAAGAGATCAGTATGTGGCGGAATAGGACTCTTTCCCTATGTATGTGCATGGGCCCAAGCTTTGGTCTCTCTCCATGTATATAATACCATGCCCCATATACATGGCCATATGTTACTGGGACCACGGGGAAAAGAAATTGTGAAAAGTGTGATTAATTAATGTGCTCCTATTATTTCCGGTAAATTGTGCGTGGTAATGAATTTTTTTTCTCCTTTAAATTTGTTTCAATTATCAACTTGATCCTTACTTTTAAATTTTTATTATTATACACAATTAGTTTTTATGATGTTTTTTTCTTCAAACCATAATGATCAACTGTGCATAATTATGAAATTTTGGGATAAAATTTAAATTTTAGTTATCAAACTAATAACTGAGGAAAATTTATATAAGGGGCCAAAAATTTTATTTTCCCAAATATAAAAAAATTAGGATAAATTTTTTATTATATAAATATATGTTATGTAATGAATACCTTTTCTAATAAGTTATTCAAAAATATACCCTTTTTTCAAGGTAAAAAAAATGCATGTTTTGATATATATATATATATATATATATAGCCAGCATAATATATTTAGTCTTATACAGCCTGTTTTCAATCAAATCAAAACACAACACACTGATCATTTTTATATTATTTATTCTATAATAAACTCTTATTATTAATATTATTAAAATATTAAAACCAAACTGTATTTTGATTTGATTAGATAAAAAATACATATAGTATATAAAGCCAAGTATTTAAGTCTTACTCTTTTCAAATGAGTCAAAACATGTGAATCATTTATATATTATTTATTCTGTAATAAACTCTTATTATTAATATTATTAACATATTAAAATTAAATTATTTTAATTTGATTGGATAGAAGTACATTAAGTATATAAAATTAAATATTTAAATGTTATTTATATGATAGCATATTCTCTCTCTAATAAATATATATGCGTACCAAAAATGAAAATATTAATTTAATTAATTTACAATTTTCCCATTTAGCTTGAATTCTCTACTACAGATCTGCATTTGGTTCTCATTAAGATTGATGAGCACGGGCGTTCATCACCCTTAGAGGGTGATCTTGATCCTTAATTTTTCTTCAAATAATCTCTATCATTGATTTTAAAATATTTTTAATATTATATTTATTAAAAATATTTGGAAGCCAATTTTTCTTAAAATGTACTCTAGATATAATTTAAAAGGTCCAATTTAATATTAATTTTTTTATAATTTTTACATATTTTATTTTAATAAATATTATATTAAAAATATTTTTTAAAAAAAATCAAGTTAATGACAGAGATTATTGGAAGAAAGATAAAGGGCCAAAATGACCCTGGGATGATGAGTTGATAAGCATAGAATGCAAATCCATTTTCTACACTGGAGTACTTTACCCATGTGCGCTATAAAATAAACATAAAATATCAGAAACATCGATCCAAGTTGAGGCCTCCCGTATTGAATATAATCAAGCTTTGAGAAAATAAATTAAATAATCAATACTAAAATATAATAATATGAAATAAATAAGATTACTTCAATACTAAATGTATATTGTTATATGTTGGCAAAAAAAATGTATATTGTTGTAATAATGAATGCTTGTTATTTATTTGAATTAATTTCTTTTATTTTTAATTGAATAAAATTTGCTTATATTTTTTGTAATTATAAACTATAATTTACTTCTTATAAATAGTTAAATAATCAAAAAAAAAATTCTTTCATTCAAATGAACTTTTTAAACATATTTTGTATTATATTTGTAGTACAAGACACAAAAGTCAATATATATGATTTAAAATGTGCATGCATTGTTGATATCAGATTCTTTATAACGTGGAAAAATTTCAATAAAAATACTTTGACCATAGTTAATACACTAAAAAGAAAAAAAAAACTTTCAGTGACAACTTTCAACTACAACAATATATTTTTATTACTAATTGTCAAACTTTCAGTGATGAGAAGTATATGTCATCACTAAAGGTCTAAATTTCAGGGACGACATATAAGTCGTTGTTGAAAATTGACAATCAACGGCAATTTTTTAGAGTTGTCGGTGATTATTAACATATTTTAAAATTTGTTATAATTTCTTCAAAAATAATATTATAATTAATATATTATAAGTTTTAGTGGTGACATATAAGTAGCCATTGAAAGTTGACAATCAACGGTGACATTTACAATAACTGCTGAAAGTTTGATTTTATATTTTCAACATTATTTTTTCTATTGTTGTTTAATCTAATATTTAACTTTTTAAGCCATTAATTTTATTATATTATTGTAATTTTATAATGAATATATAAAATAACATAATGAGTTTTCATTTAATATAGTTATGGTTAAATTACAATTTTAAAATAATAAAATTATTTTAAGATAAAGTTAAAGTATTATTTAATGCTAATGAGTTAAAGTAAAGAATTAAACTAAATTATATTATTTTACGTTAATTTTTATTATCAAGTAATGTTTGGTTTGATTCAATACAACTATTTAAGCCAATTTAGTTAATTGGTTTTGGTCAAATGACACCAAATCTAACTAAATTGATTGATGCATATCCCTATATGAAGTGATAAATTCATTCAAAAATCTAATGTTTGATTTTTTAATTTGGAATGTATATAATGTGGTAATGAGTCTCTATTTTCAAATGTTTTATAATTAAATTGATATTTTATGCAATAACATTACTTGTTTATAATAATTAGACATGTAATAGTTAAATTTATTCATTCATAGAATAATATTTCATCTAATGTAATTTTTCAATTTAAATTCTACATTTAATACTGGTAGCTTTGAAGCTTGATGTCGGTTTAGATATTTTCAATTTGATTGCTAATGATAGGAAAGAGAAAGATGAAAAGAAAATGAGATATTTTAAAATTTTACTTTTAATTTATACAATATACAAAAAATATCTATGCATATGATGCTATATGATTTTTTTTTGTTTGATGCTATCTTGTGACATAAATATAAAAAAAAATAGATAATATAGTGTATAATTTTATTATAAAATTATAATTTAAAAATGAAAAATAATTAAAAAAGTAAAGTGTAATGTAAAAACAACCCAATTACATTACTTAAGAATTATTGTTAATTAAAAGTAAAAATAAAATTTTAAATAAAACTAGCTAAAAAATAAATAATTATGAGCTAACATATAATTATCTATATTTTGACTATTTATTCTTAGATATTTTTTATATTATAATAAAAAATATAAAAATTAAAATAAATAATATAATAACCTCAAGAAGTAAAAAAATTAAAATAAATAATACAAATGATATTGTATCAACTATATTAATAATTTCCTTTAGAAAAAATAAATAATATAATTTGCAATTTGAATAAATTAAAAGAATTAAATTGAACTATTTAATGATAGTAATGAGATTTTAAAATATTTAATATTTAATATATATGTGTGTGTTTTTCTAGTTTAATATATATATATATATATATATATGTAGTAATAGATTGCAAGTTCATTCCAACTTAATAACAAAATGATGGGACATAAAAAGATGAGGTCATAGGTTTAAACCTTAAAGGAGGCAACTTGTGTAATGGCAATATAAATTGATAACATGTGGCGTGAGATGGGATGACACATGAAGGGTGACATGATGCCATGTGAAAGGATGAGGTAGCGACATATGGTGAGTAAAACCAACATTACTTTTCAACGACGACAAAAAAGTCGCTGCTAATTGATAGTTTTATAGCGACAAATGTTACTGTTGATACTTAACATTTAGCAGCGACAAAATTATCGTCGCTGATGTGTGATTTCTACAGTGGCTTTTATCGCCGTCAATTCTCAACTTTTAGTGGCGACTTTTTTTTTACAGTAACAAATTTTTTGTTTTACATTCTTAACTTTCAACGGTGACAATAAAAGTCACTGCAGATAGAATCAGCGATAAGAGCTCTCACATCGACATTGTGACAACTTTCTATCACCATTAAATTTTTTGGGTCGTTAATAACAAAGAAAGCTTTAGAAACTCCAAAATTTCATTGTAGTTCAAATGTATTGGAATGAACTTAGAATATTGAGGTAAATTACCTGACTATCCCTACTTTCTTGTCCATTGATTTAAGTTATTCATTTTCATATATATTATTGTTCATCACCTTATATTAAATTATTCATTAAGTTGCCGTTTAACCGTTTGTTGTGAAATGAAAACAAGTCAAGCACTCACCCGCAAAGGAACCAAAAACAGACTTAAAAAATATGTAACAAATAATGACAGTAAAAGATTTAAAAAATTATAAAAAAAAGACTAATGAAATTTTTTGGTCCTTATATATTATTTTTGAATTTTTTATTATAATTATTTTTGTTTTTATGCAATTTTGTATATGCTTTTCCATTATTTTTTATCAACTAATGATCAAAGTTAATTTTTATTAATAATAAAAGATTAGATTATACTATTTTTAAAAATTGAATGAGCATATTGCATTCAAAATAAATTTAGATCCCAAATATTTCTGGACATACAGTTTATAAGGTAATTTACCAATTTATCCATCATGATTTACCCACATAAATAATTACAATATTATAAGACAGGGGATTATATGCTTTTTCGGAACATAAGTGGGTTACATATACATATGTGGCATATAAAGTAGTGAAGGTCATACATATTATTGCATCACATAGCATTGTTGCTGTCCTTTATTGATGTCAGGTGAACTGGACACCCACTTCTTAGCTTTGAAAAAAGTGCCCATTTCTCTATGCTTGAGTCAGGATCAGTCACCTTCCACCTTAGCAGATAGAAAAAGCATAGAGAAAATTACAATTAAGATAGTAAAAAAATTAGTAATAAAAATTGAGAATCATAAAATGGTGAAATTAATCAATCTAAATATCATGATTTTTTTAGTTTTTTTTTACCATTTGATTTTTAGTTTAAACATAATTTTTTACTAAAGCACCCCAATTTAATTAAAATACACAATTAGCTAGTTGGTCTTTCACTCATATTGAAACAATTTCTCCCTCAGTTACTCTTATCTTTTCAGTTTTATCCTTATTTAATGCTTATTTTATTTGATAACCTTTAATAGAAAATTCAACAATTATATCATTTGCTAATAACAAAATATTGATGGCAGCTATATAAATTATGACAAGTATAATTATTTAAGTAATATTTAAGTAAAAAATGACTCTGAAATTTTAAAATACAAGACAATAAAACACATTGTAAGAGAGTAATTGATAAAAATTAACTGATTTGAGGGTAAAAAAACCAAATTGACAACTAAAGCAAATACGAGAGACTCAAAGTTTCACAATCCCAATTTTTATAATTTGTTTTATAAATAAAAACGAATCACCATCCAAATTTTTACCCAATAAATATAAATATATAGAAACGGACAAAATATTTTGATTTTGATAATTATGTGGCTTCTTTATTAATTAGTTTCAATATAATAAAAATAGAAAATGAAATACTGACTTGAAAGTGGTGATGAAACGATGAAGAAAGACGAGCATCATGGCTTTAGCCATGTTCTTCCCAAGGCACGACCTTCCTCCCACACCAAACGGTAAGAACCCGTGTGCTTTTGACTTGACCTACTTGCAATTATAATTAATTATTATTCAATATAATTAATATAATATTATCTCAAAATTATCAAAATTAATTATTATTATTATTATTATTAATTGGTGACACTAGGTTTCTTACATGAAATCTTGAAGGATTGAAAACGTCTGGATCATCGTACACAGTGGGATCCAAGTGTATTGATCTAGCATCCACGTTGACGTTCCATCCTTTCTTGATTTTAAATCCTGTATGCATAAATATATAACACCATATATAATATATGAGTTTGATTCTTTCAAGTTCTACATATAATATATAGTATAAATTGTAAAGAAGAAAATTAAGATGATAAGTAATATAATTAAAGGTGCATGCCTTGAATCTCGCAGTCCTCTAGTGCCACTCTTGGGAACCACTGAACAACTGATGCCATCCTTAACGCTTCTTTCACCACCTATATGTTTGTGTATAACGCTTATTACTATGGTATGTACACTACATTAAAAAAATCAATAAAACTGATGTAATAAATAGATGGTGACAGTTTTGTAATAATAATGATGATTATTTATAATATCGGTATAACTCATTATTTGTATTTAAGTGAACTAACTTAGTAATATGTAATTAAATTAATTATAAATTCAGAAAATTGAATTGGATAATATGAATATATGAATGTACACCCATATCCTGAAGATCAATATAATCACTTGTAATTGCCTACAACTTGCCATTGCAAGCTACAACCTAATAATCACAGGTACAGGGGCGTGTACTATTGGATACATACATACATACATACATAATTATAGCATGATATATTAAATATGACGATTTTTAAAATTTTAGGATATAGATACATGCAAAAATATATATGTTATATACTCTCTCATGTCCTTATTATAAAGCACATTCTATGACAGATTGATGGTTCGTGATATAAGGCACTTGTTAGGGTTATTAATTACAATTTTCCATTAGTCTTATGTAAACTTATAAACAATGAAAAAGAATGCAATGTAAATGTGATTTTTTTTATTTAAATAAGGGTAAAATTAAAAGTCTATTTTTTTAGACAAAGTTAATAACTTAATCACCTCTTCCTTGGTTATGGTAAGATTATTAGAGATGCCTTATAATAAACCAGAGGAAGTATTTTAATATTTTAGAAGAAGAGTATGGGTATTTTGAGTTTTAGGCAAGTAATATAAATATATTTAGGGAAAACATAACTTTAGATCCTATACTTTGTTTGCATTTTACTATAAGTTCTTGTAGTTTTTTTTTTTTTGTGTTCTCTAGGTCTTTACACTTTTATTTTTTGGTGCCAAAACACCAAAAAACATAAATTTATAGGGACTTATAATACCAAAAAAGTACAGGAATCTATAACAAAATACAGGGATTTAAAGTTATGTTTTCCCATATAATTATAATATTAAACCAAAATATTAATCTTGTCATTTAACTAATAATACAAAGGATAAAATATGTTTCACTTATCATGAAGTATAATACCTGCATCGTATCATACACATATATAATATATTGCTACGTTGTTGAAGTGTCGTTGTTTAGTTTTATAACCTATCCGCTAATATTACTCACCGCGGAAGCAAATGGCATCTCATTAAGATCCTCAAGTGTTAAATTCGAGCTTTCACATTTTTTTGCTACTTGAAGTTGCTCCTTCTGCTCAATTCATAGAATATACCCAATAATATATCTTATAAAGCAGGGAACCAAATTGGACCCCAAAAAAAAAAAAGAGTGAAGAAAAATTAAACTAAAACAAGTGAGGAGATTGAAATTGATGACTGACCATAAGATCGTGTAAAACCTGCTGATTCTCACCCAAGAATTTGATCATCCACGTTATCGCATTTGCTGTTGTGTCCTGACCTGCAATTAATTAATTTCATCCCAAAATTAAAATGTAATACAGGCTTAATTATTTTTGCAGCTAATTAAATTAAATCAGGTAAGTAATGTTTTGTTAGTTCAGTCTTAATTATACGTACCAGCGATTATCATGGTTAATATATTATCTCGGATCTCTTCATCTGTTAGCCTTCTCATGATCGCTTCTTCTTCTTGATTGTTAAATTTATTGTCATTTCGTTCTAAAAGCCGTTCAAGAAAATCTTGATGACGGCCACATTTCTGTCCACTTCTTCTTTCACTCATCGTCTTCTCCAATATGTCCATGATTCTTTTTCTAGCCTGTACATATCATCACTTTATAGATCAAATTATCAATTTCCCACAGGGTCAAATACATAGAAAACTCTTCAAGAGTATATTTATTTCAGTTTTTGTGGTTTCTAGGGAAAGAACTCGAGGACAAGAGTATAATTTGTTTAAAAATTGCCAATTGTCTCAGTGGCAAAACTACCTCTTTTTGATGGTGAGGTCCAAGATTTGAACCTTGCAAATGAAAAATGTTGCCATTACAAATTAAATTTTTTTGTAGTGTGAGTTTTTTTGTTAACAAAAATATTCAGGTGAGCTGAATCCTATGAGCTCAACAAGATCATGTGACATATCTTCAAGTTCAAAGAATGTTTATAAAAATACTTACACATTGCTCATGAATAAGATTATCATATTGGCATTAATATTTGTTCTCACAACTTCATAAGTTACATGCTAAAATCTTATAAATCAAAAGAACCTTTGTAGGCATGTGAGGGTGAGCTACAAATATGAAATTTTTTCCTTAAAAAATGAAAATGACAATTAAATCTCAAAATATTAAATATTAGTGATAGATGGATTCCTTTGACATTTTTTTTTAAAAATAATTTGAAAATGTTAATTTAGACAATTATAAACATGAGTCCAGTTACAATTTCAGAGTTGTATTTGAAACTTGATTAAATGTAATTTTATTTATAATTGAAACTCTTAAATTTGTAAGTGTATAAATTGACATTTTTAACTCATTTTTAGAAAATTTTATTAAGAACCTAACTGTCATTAATTCAATTTTTTAAAAAATTTTAATTGTAATTTTGAAAAAAAAAAAGGACATGGAAATGATGTGAAGAATGAACTATAATGCATTTAGATTTTGTTACTAGGATTAAATATATATTAATTGTTGAGTCCAACTTAATTCGGTGTGAGACTTCTTGCATCAACTTAAATCTACTCATACCTAAGTAGCCCACCAGATTTTATAAGGTGGAGTGAATAGAAGAAATCAATAATTAGAGAAAGAACACACACACCTGAAGGCCTTTATAGAATCTAGTCCACTTGAAACTCAGAGGAAAGGAAAGCATTGCTTCACATACACGACCAACCTCTTTCTGCATCGTCTCCAATTCATCACCGCTCTCAATGCTCAATAACATCTTGCACATCGCTCTACAAGTTATCTATGCCCCCACAAAATTTTTCAACCTCCATTAATTATATTGAACTTGATCCATTAACAAAAATGCATCATGAAATTCTAGGGAACAGATCCTCGGACGTGTTCATGAAGATTATATGTTTTACAAAAGATAATAAAATAACATAAAATATTTTAAAAAGGAAAACTACTAGCTTCACAAAGCAAATTCATGAATAACAACTTCAAAGAATTTAAATCCAAAATTCTAGCGCGCGTATGTATACGTACCTGGAGAGCTTCATGTTGAATAATGATGAGGCCGTGACGTGGCCAGCCATTGAAGGCTTGAAGAACGAGTTGATCAAAGTGTTGAACAAGAGAAGCGAGAGAGTGAGATGAGAACAGAGAAAGGAGATGAGCGCGAAGGAGCTTGTGATTGTTCTGAGAAGCTGAGAGCAAGCTGCGAGGTCCAACCTGCTCAGCTACAGACTTGATGTACCTCTTTGAGAATTTCCCAATGTCATTGTTTAGAATGGCTTTTGCCGATTCCACGCTCGACATAAAAACGTGGGTTTCCCCAAATAACCTCGTCTTGAAGCATCTCCCATATCTGCCATGCACACACATCTCCACTCATCTACCTCAGTTTCTGGAACGATATCATGTTTCTCATAGCTAGAATATTTTGAACACACTATTAAACATAACTTTGATCCATGCGTTCTTACTTATTCCTTCTATCTCAAATTATAAGATACTTTTGAGAAAAAATTCTATATCTCAAAATATAAGACATTTTGGCAAGATTAAGGTTTCATTAAATAGATTTATTTTAATATTACCCTTCCTTTCTTTATTTAATTTTCGTACTTCTCTCTTTTTAATATATTAAATAAAAGATGTTTTTAAAATTTTATATTTTTATTTTAAAAATGATATTTATTGATAAGTGAAACTTTTGTCTAAAAATTTGTGAGGGAGGGAGTACCTTCTCATCTGTCCTACAACTAGCTGTATATGAAGCACAAAAGAAAGTAAACGAACTTATACCTATACATATATGATATGATACGTGTATAATTGTATTTTATGATGTGTATCCATCTATCACATATTCTATCATTAGTATTATTGTATTTTTTTTGTTAAAATATTTCTACGATGCACTATTAGAAAAAATCTTATTTATAAGCGATGAAATTTTAGCAAGAGATCATTTTTCCTCACTAAAAAGCTGAATTAGAGAGCAATAATAACTTAAATCGCAATTTTAACTAAATTTTGTGAAAACATAAACGAGGTATTTTTTATTTCTTTCTAATAAGTAAGAAAATTAGCGAGGCCAGCTTAATTTATCATATCTAATTAGAGAGACAAGTAGTGATATATGCCTATTATTTTAATGTATGACTTAAAAACTTTAAAAAATTAACAACTTTGTTGATAATTTTAAATATATTTATAGTATTTGTTTAAAACTCAAAATATCAATATTTATTCTCTAAAATATTAAACTATATAACGCATGTTCTTCTACTCATATTCTAAAATTTTGAAAATTGTCATATTCCATATATATATATATATATATATATATATCATCTTGTATCATATCCAATACCCATGTTCATGACCCGAACTTCTTAGCTTCACAACAAGTGAACCAAATTTCAACCTTATAACTCGGTCATCAATCATCACTCAATATAAGTGAAACAAGTAACTATATATCATCATCATCATCATGGTTGGTGTAGTTACCGGATTCGACGAGATCGGACAAATTGATAGACTCCTTGAGTGCTATTAATTGCAGCCATGAAATGCAATGTTTCTCCGACAAAGGGAAGGCCTCGATTTCCTGGAGGAATCCCAGTTGCTTCATCTGACTTGTTGTACCATATCAGATTCAACACTCTCTCGCATATTATTGTAACGACGACGACAACAAGAAGGATGCCCCAACAATACCAAGACATTAATGGAATCTCCTGAACCAGTAGATGACCAAACATTTTGCTATGTTCTTCTTACCAACTTATATTCATCATCTGTACTCCTATATATATGTGTGTCCGTGTTGCCTAATTGCATTTGGGACTCATACATTTAAAAGGATGATACGTGTGCGGTTTAAAACAGTACAATTGCGTCAACATGGCAGACATGCAATCATGATTAAGGTGAATTATGATTTTGAGGCTGCGTTCCTCGATCTCCATTAAAACAGTATGGAAGTGGTATATATTATATTTAAATAACTTTACTTAAAAAAATAGTGTGCATAAGTTTGTCTTAAATTACGACCAAGTTACATCTGAAATTTTAGATAACAAAAATTAGCTGTTCCTAAAAATTGTAAATGATAATATTAATTTTGGAGTACTACAAAGACTTAAAAGAAATATTTTTCTGAAATGGAAAGCATGGTATGGTTGTTTTATAAAAATATTTATTTTTTAAATATTGTATAAAAAAAGATATTAGTATGTTTAGTTACAATAATAAAAAGTGATCATCAATTAGTTATTTTTAAATTTTATAATATCTTCCTTAATTTTGGTTTTATAAAAATGATTTATTATTTTCAAGACAATCAGAAATCTACCTTTTTTTAGATTCTAATTAATTTTAAAGGTTTAAATAAATAATATAAAAAATCATAAAATATATATTTTTAAAAAAAATAAGTGGTTTTTTCTTCATAAAAATAAACTAAAACAATCTAGTGGGATAAGTAACATATAGAATATACTTGGAGGGAAGGGGGATGTTCTGCAAAGTAGGAGTCCAAAGTAAAACTAGAAGCTAAAGGCATGTGTCCTTCCTCCCTGGCTTTATATAGAAGTTATAACTAACTTTAACTATACAAATTTTTCAAAAAAACTTTTTCTTACTTATTTAACGTTTTACTTTACTAGTAAAAGTTTTGAAAGGATAAAATTAAAAGACTTTAATTAATAATCCATTTTTTATGCAAAGTATTAAAAAAAGACTACTTTATTTATGAATATTATACAACATATTTTTAAAGGATCATGTTGAAAAATATAAATTTTTTTAGGTCTTTCAACATATAATTAATGAGGTTTTTTCAAAAATACCTTTAATTATATTAGATATCTAATCAATATGATTTTCTAATTGGGACACCTCATGAAAAGATATGTAATTTAAAAATATTATTAGAAAACTTATTAAATAATGTAATTAAGTTAAAAATGCCTTATAATACTTCACAGATGGAATATAAATTCATTTGGCTAACTTATACTCCTTTTATTAAAAAATAAAAGATATTTTTAATCAAATCTCACCTTTTAATAAAGTAATTACTTATTTTTAAATTAAATATTTTATTTTAAAATAAATATCAAGTGATTTATTCATTAGAGGCACGTTTGAAAAAAAATAATGATTATACTTTAAAATATTAAAAATATATTATATTTTTAAATATTTAAACTTTTAAAAAATATCTTACATTTTTTAATAAAGAAAGTATATAATATAAAAGGATATGTAAGTTTCATTTGGTGATACAGTGAAGAAGGATGAGAGGAAAGTAATTTGAATCGGTCAAAAGCAATGGAATTAATTAATTAATTAAGGTGAACCCTATCAAATTAGACGAATGCTCACTTTGCAAATTTCGCCTAATTAATCGTGACTGCCACAAGGACACAGCGTTAATTGTACACAATTAATTCAGCCCCACTTTATTTTTCTCGCGGGGGTACGTCACCATGTGTTTGTTTACATGGATGCTTAAATTCAATAGAAATAGTCAACAAGAGGATAACTGTATTTTTTTTATTTTTTAAATAAAAAGATGTTGCGCATGCATCGTATGATTAAAATGCACGGCCTAGCTTCTTTCTTTAAGACTTCAATTCAAATTCAATGACTAAAAATAATAAATGGACGTATAATTATTTGGGCTGTGAATCAGCCAATTCATCATTGTATTGGGAGACATTAGCTTAGATATTTTTGGCATCTATTGTCATTGCGATCGAATAGTTTACCCTCCATTTTAATTTATACAATATTATTAGGTAAAATTATATATATTAATAAAACTTATTAAATATTTTTAGATAAAATTATACATATACTAAAGTTTATTAAATATATATTTTGCAATATTATTTTTTTTCAAAACGAAAATATAAACATCCAAAACTATTCTTCATTTAATTAATATTCTATTTTAAAAAAAAATATTAAAGAGAGAATATAATGAAATAGGTAATAATGGAAGGAGAGAGATAGACTTTGATCCGCTGCTTTTAATGATATTTGGCTTGATCATGGGTTTGAAAGTTCCTTTAGTGATATTATTTGCACCTCCCATCACAACATTTTCATTGATAAGCTTCTTTTTCGATACTAAGATCTCATTCTTGGCCATATTGGGGTCTATCCAGTAGACTAGACAGCCGGGCAAATAGTGTTGTAAACATTACTCGCACCAAGACTCGCCTTCTCTCTTACACTCACTTTCTCTCTCTAACTCACCAGCACATTTAATGGAGATAACTTGAAAGATTCAATGAAAAGAAAAAAAATCTAATCGAGTGTATGCATAATAACACCCATTATGTGTGTATACATATATATATATATGGCTTTTTAAAACTATTTTGTAGCCACTAACACAAGTGGAGTTTAGTGGGGATAACTAATTATACCTCACAACATCATGTAATAAGGTTTGATTTTTTGTTGGAAAAGGCATTTACATTTAGTGTAGATAGTGTCTTGAATATGCATGATTGCCTTCAATAGAAGAATATTTGCAAATAATAAAAACTAATTTTGGGACTTTTTCACTAAAAAAAATTAAAATGATTTTGCGGCTTTGAATATATTGACTTTATTTTAAATATAAGGCATTTTTATTTAACATAGGCTCACGAAAAAATAATTAGGTGACTAAAATTTCAATTTTGTCTAATTTTACTTATTCAATGCATGGATAACGTACCGTGTTAACAGGGGAAAGCGAAGTAATTCTAATAGAGTTTTTTTTTTTTTTGTCATTATCCATTGAATCCACATCTTTCTCTTCATCAAACAAGTTCATAATACCAAGAAAAAAAATGAAATCAATTTAAATATATAATATTTTATTATTTTTATTAAATGACCAAGTCAGGTTAAGGCCACTGCAACATCCAGACACCTCTGATTATTTTAACAAAATAGATAATAATGTTTTAGGAGTTCTATAAAAAATCACATTTCTATGTCATGAATGAAGTCTAATGTTACCGGGCTGCGGAAAAAAACTATCCCAGCTGTTGTTGTTGTTGTTTTAAAAAAATAAAAACATTTTATTTAAACTATTTTATTTCTTTTAATGTATAAAAAGTAACATTTTTATTTTTATTTCAGGAAGGAACCATACCCTTGGGTGTGCCAGATTGAGTGATAAGTCCATTATTAGAAATTCATCATTACCACCAATTATGTGTGCCCGCATTATTGGGAGGGACCATTCCCATCATCGTTTTCTTTTTCTCAAAAAAAAAAAAAAGGGAAGTATAATTAACAAAAAGAAACAAAAAACGAGAAATCATTCTCATCAACTTTTATTATTGTCTTTTTACACATACGACAAATTAGGCCCACCTTCCATCCCCTTGATTCGCTCAGGCTTCACAGTTTTCCCCCCCTTTTTTTCCATGTGGTTTAAATAATTATCGCTTTCATAAATCTGAAAATGGTACTCGTACACACACATACTATCGACTGCAACCCTACAAAAGTTATATTTTACTTTTAGTACTTACACTTAACCGAAATAAATTTGCAGAAAGAATTCTATTCTATTTTAACCAATTATAGCCAACTAATAAAGTAATCATTCCTCAATACATAATAATTATGAAAGGTAAATATGTTATTTCATCAAAAATTAAAATTCCAAAGAAGTTCTTGAGGACTAAACAATAAGTATCAAATCTCATGATATTTAATTGTCCCTTGGATATTTTGGAGCTATTGTTTTGTTATTTTTCAAAAAAAAAGAAGGAAAAGAAAAGAAACCAGAAATCATTCTCATTCATCTTTAATTATTGCCTTCTTATAAATGATACAAATTAGCCCCACCTTCCCATATATATCCCCATCGTTACTTCCTAGGATTCACAATTTTTTTTCCTTACATTTGATAATGATACTCCTACACACAGTCTACACATGGACTTGAATTTAGTGACTGTACTTAATATAGGCATTGAGTACTTATACCATCTAAATCATTAAAATATAAATCAATGATTCGGATAAATTTACTTATTTATTAATTTTAAGTAAATATACATTTATAACCATTGATCTGAATTTTAATGATTCAGATAGTACAGATATTTAATGTCTGTATTAAGTATAATTATCAAATCTAACTCCCTCTACACACATATACATCACATACTGCAAACCCACAAGCTAAGATGTGTAATAATGCAGGCACAATTATGGACCACTTGAAGTTAAAGCATGCACTTCCCAACATGCATGACATATAAGAGCGCGCATTATTAAACAGTACTAGAAGCAAAGATTACAACGTTTGAAATAAGGACGCTACACAGTAGAGAGATAGAGATATTGGGCGGAATTGGTTGGTCGAGAAATAGGGAAGTAACGAGAGGTACGCACGAAGTCAGGAGCGCTTGACAAGGGACACAACCAAGTTGGTGTATTTGGCGGAGGTGCGCGACAGATAGTGGTCCACAAGCTCAGTGTAGACTTGGAACAGCTTGTCCATGACGTGGCTTCCGAATTGGGATTCCAGCATGGACTCAACCACCGCCCTTACGGTGCGAGCCACTCGCTCTCCTCTCGTCATCGTTCCCAGCGCCTCCCAGTGCCCCGCCGCCTCCACCGCCTGATCTCCGCCATCCCAGTCGATCTCACATGCCTTCTCTTTCTCCACCATGAATGATCCTTCCTTCAGAACTGCTAATTTTAACTCTTGCATGCACGGAGCATAGTAGGGAGCATCAAATGAATCCACCTTCTCCTCTTCAATTAAACCCTGCATGTTCACCGTATATTAATTTATAGTTACCAGGTAATCAAGTCAAGTGTGTGCGTGTGTGTGTGTGTGTAAGTCTATGTTGTGGTGCTTTTTCAAGAAAGGGTGCTTGTTAGGATGTGCAAATGTAAATAAATTTAAATTGAGTTGGAAAATTTCGTATTTGTTAAAGTTAAGTTTAGTAAGAAATATATAAACATGGAAGACCCATGAGCTTGATCTTTGTAGGTAAGCCAAGTTTGTGAGTCAATCTATATACATCTGTATTTTGAACCAGATGTACTACTTGTTAGGATATTCAAATATAAGTAAATTTAATTAAATAGAAGTATAAGTTGGGTTTAATAAAAAAAATATAAAAACATACATGAAATGACCCATGGGCTGTAACTTTAATTTTAAGATTTTGAGTTAAAATAGGGTATCTCCTTTATCCATCATTACCTTCCCTCCTTTAAAGTTTTTGCTCTCTGTCCTCAGTAAGTGGCATTAGAATCTAGTTTTGTTGTCTAGGAATAAATGTGAAGATAATGTTTAAAGCCCATAATTACAGACTATTTGAAGTTCAAAAATAAATCTCGCATTGATTTTGCTTAGAAACTTGTGTGTATCACATTATTTGAAATCTGAAAATTAGATAAGCTGCTATGATTACAGCAACAAAGATTAATTTTGGTTTGGATGAAGGGAAAATGTTAAAAAAAAAAAAAAGAAAAGCAATTGGTAAAGGTAATTCTCTCTTATACTTTTCTTTTCTCTTTAATTTTCTCAAGTTAGAAAAGCTAATGGATTTGGATGTTATGAACAACAACCTGAGTGATTTTGAATTGATCATCTGGGTGTACCTGATCTGACATGATACTTTTCATATCAATTAAGTTCACTCACTTTTGAATTAGGTGAGAGCTAGAGATAAGAGAAAAAGGAAAGACGTACTTGGGAGACAAGGGACATGAGGGCTTGGGCCAGGAGCTCCCACTGGTAGCAACTGTGGGGAGTGGTGGGGTCGATGGAGTCTCTACCAATGAGGGAAAGGACCATCCGTCCTCCACGAACCATCTCACGAGAACGAGACTTGAGGAACACTGTAAAGTCATTCTGGAACTGTCTTGAATACGCTTCCACCACGCTCCTTGGACTGCTCTCTGATATGTAAATCTTTCCCTTGTTCACCAATCCCCCTCCATCCAACCCAGCAGGAACCTGCATGCATCCATTTTTTTCACTTTTATTATAATATTATTTACAAACTACAACAACAGACTTCTTCTTCTTCTTTTTTTTAACTCATGCCAACAGAGGTTTACTCTTTTATTCCTTTTTCCATGTGACATGGACCATGTCTAGTAAATTTAAGGGAAAATCACTTCACAGGATTTTGTAAGGATTTTACGTATCAAGAAGTCCCATGACATGTACAAAATAGTTGCAAGTCTCGAACTTGGCAAAAAAGAAAATGACAACTTGGATATGAGTTTAATATCAAGTTGCCATTTTCTTTGTCAAGTTTTAATTGGACAGAACTTGGGACTTAGTGGCAATTTATACATTTTATGGGACTTTAACATAATTGAAATCTTGTTATGGGACTTCTCAATAATGTTTCCTAAATTTAATTTCTTCTTATAATAATATATTAGCTTGTCTTTCACTCAGATTTGAATTTGATGATTGGCATAAATTTACTCACTTAATGAGCATCCCAATAATAGTTATTGAATTTCATTAATATTTTAAAAAAAATATCAAGATACTTTTCCCTTTAAAAATTCTAAACAACCCTTGTGATTAATTAGAATAGTCCTCACATATGCCATCTCCTTTAAAAATTTGAAATTTGATATTTTATAAGTATTATATGACAAAATTTCTTACAGTTGTTAGATTAAATCTTTGCACTTAAATTGAATAGCTGTTATATATCTTATAATGTATGTGAGACACTTCTTGCGTGAGTGAATTTGTGCTATTTATTATATTCAAATTCCTTTTTCACTCTCAAACAATGAAAATGTACTTTCTTTCCATTGTGCCTTTTATTCTTTCTGTTTCAAAACTTTTATCTTTGAAAATGATTGCATACATATTAAAAAGTACAATTAATGTGTAAAAATATGATTTACTTTAAAACAGATTAAGACATGCAACTAATAGTAATTTTAATATCTCAAAGGATAAAATATGAAGCATTTTGAAAAGAAAAATTATATGAAGCAATTTTTTCCTTTTAAAACGACAAATATTTTTAAAATAGAGAGAATAATTTGTTAATTTGAGCAAGTGCTTGTGTGGATGTGCGAGAGGGAGGGAGTGAGTGGATAAGAAATTCAGTGGATTGGGACCACACGTAACAGTTAGGCCTAATTTCCACACACGGGACTTCTGGTAAGAGTTAGGACCACAGAACATAGTATTGTAGCTCTTAGGAATTAGGATTGGGTACTGTGACTACAGTTGCTTGTGCATTGACCAAAGACATATCTGAAAGCCCTCATGATTTTCTCAAATTTTGACGTTAACGTAACTTGAAACACTTGCAAGCCTCCTCTTCCACTCACTTTAGTCATTTCAAAAAAAAAAAAAAACTATGGATCCTAGTTTTAGATATGTATGTATGTATGTATGTATGTATCATGCATGTTTAGATTCCATGATTAAATAATTTTTTTAGAAAACGTTGATTAAGATTATTTGTATAAGATTAATCAAAATCATCTAAAATTTCCTGAATTTTGAAAGCATTTGAGTTGTGGAATAAATCAAGTGACGATAGATGCATTTGATTTCAATTCACATGCAGCAATATGAACACAAAGCAATATCCATGTACAATCTATATGAAAAATGGAGGAAAAAATTGAAAGTATTTGGCACCACATATTACAGTCCATCAAGCTCAATTTACAATATACTTTTTGGAAAAATTACATATATTAATTTATTGAATAGACTTTATAATCTTAATTTTTTAAAAAAATATAAATATAAATTTTTAAAATTATCCTTCATTTTAATGGAACTTTATTAATTAGGAAAACATTAAATAAATAGAGAGAAAAACATAATAAGGATAAACTGGTAGTATTAATGGAATTAGTATAGTAAATGAAACTTTATTTTTGTTAAAGTATCTTATATTTTAGAAGGTCAAATCATCTTAAAAAATGTCTTATAAACAAGGATTGGGGAGTACATTTAAACTACTAAAGCTTAAAGTACGTGATTTCATTTAGCATGTGGTAAAATCATGCATGTTCATTTAATCACATTCTCTCAAATTCAGAAATCTTTCGAAAGCGAACTTTAGAGGATTCTGATCCATGTATATAAATCAAAGTATTATAAAAATAATTGCGGAGATCAATTTGACGTACCTGAGAAAGCCAATGGAGGCTAGAAGAAGAGTGAACAAAGTGAAGACTATTAGATGGGAAGAGTGGACAGTAAAAAGAGCCAGGCACGCCAAAAATAAAACATCGCCCCAACTCGCTTCCTTTCTCTCGCCTCAGTTTTCTATAGAAACTTGGCAATGAGGCGAAGATGTTGTTGAAGTCATTCGTGTACAGGTCATTCAAATACACCTTCAACTCCAGCGATGGTCTCCCGAGCTGACGCGTGGTGGCGCACACCGTGTCGAGTATGTCAGAGATGACCATCAAGGCGTTGGGTCCGGAGGAGCAGCCCAGGTCGGCGATGCCCATGTTGTCTGTCCAATTGGAGCACACGGTTTCTACAATGGCTTCCTTTGTTGCAGCCATGGACACAGAGATAATGGTGTTCTACATGCAACATTTACTTACAATTTATTATTTGTATCATTATGAATGTTTGGAAGAATAGAGGTTTATGGGTTGAAGGTAATGAAATGAACTTTTTTTTAACTTAAACTTTAACCTTTTTGTTTGGATAGGGAGAAAAATAGAGATTAAATGAAATTACAAAGAAAAATTCTAATCAAAAATAGTAAAAAAAAAAATTACTATTTTTAAAAATGTCTCCTCATAATTTTCTTGCCTCTTCTCGCTTCATCCAAACAAAGCCTAGTTGGAGGAAAAGTGGGAAGAAAATATGAAGGAAAAATTATGAGGGAAAATTCATAAAAATAGTAAAAATATAATTTTAAAAATTTTACCCCATAACTTAGCTATTATTCCCTATAGGAAAAGAATACTCGCACAACTATGCGTGCACGCACACAAATATATCAATACTATGTCTGAACTTAGGATTTCTTTCAAGCAAGAGAGGTAACGGCCACTGAGACAGCTTGCCGTAATTGACAGCACAGAGAGACACACACATATCCAAACATGCAATACCCACACACGTGCACAAGCACAAGTTTAATTATAGCAAGAAAGGAAAGGTTTGTGTTAGTAGACTGAGAGTTGAGGAAATGAAATGAACCTGAACGGCTGAGTTCATAGCATAGCTAGTGTCGCCTGCTCCTTTGTTCATGTGAAGTACTTGCTCAACCTGCATGTCTTAGCTTGTTGTGACAAAGTGTTATGTGTTGAGGGACTAATAGAGTATTTGGTGTAGGACTCTCTCTCTCTCTCTCTCTCTCTCTATGTAGTGCATGAGCCAAACCTTTGGTTTCTCTCCATATATATAATACCCTGCCCCGTATGTCACCGACACCACAGGACAAAGAAATAATGAAAAATGTGATTAATAATGTATTCCTATTATTAATTATATCATGCCAAAATTAATTAGTGGTGAACTGGTAATGAAATTTATAGTGTTCTAAGTTTGCTTCAATTATTTGTTTGGTCCTTCAATTTTTAATTTTCATTGATTAAGTTTTTAAAGTTTTCGTAACTATATATAATTACTCCTTATGATACTATTTTTTTTCCTTCAAATTAAACCGATTGTGTATGATTGTAAAATTTTAGAAACTTAATTAATTGATAAAGATTAAATTTTAGGGATCAAATCAATAATTGAGATAAATTTAAGAGATTAAAAGTTTCATCATTCCAGAAAAAAATTAAAAACAATGACATATGAAAAGCCAAATGTCCATTAATAAATAATTGGCTTCTTATTTAAGTTTATTGGATATGTATTTAAACACGTCAAGTAATTAATACGTAATTTCTAATAAATTAGTCTAATTTATACACGTTTTAATAAATACATATATACATACATACTGCTAGCATAATATGTGTATGCGTGTGAGATAACAAATTCTTTATGTAATAAGTGTGCATATATATATATATATATATGTATGTATGTATGTATGTATGTATGTATCAACCAAGTGGATGTGACATATATGATAGTAGTTTGAGCTCTTTAATCATCATCTCAAAGTTTGATTCCTGAAGGTGTATAGAGACCATATCACTTAAAAGAGAATAACTCTTTAAATGGTACTCAAATTTTGGAGAGATTAATTTCATAATTTTCGACTATGGGAATACTTTTGAGAAATAAAAAAAAGTATATATACGTATCAAAAATGAAATTATTAATTTAATTAATTTAAAATTTTAATTTCACATCTACCTTGAATTTTCTACTCTATAGTACCTTACCCATCTGCGCCATGAAATAAACATAAAATATCAGAAGTATCCGAGTCAAATCCTCCCGTATTGGATACAATCATGCTTTGAGAAAATAAATTAAATAATCAATCCTAAAATATAATAATATCAAATAAATAAGATCACTTCAATGCTAAAAATGTATACTGTTATAATAATGAATGCTTGTTATTTATTTAAATTAATCTATTTTATTCTTAATTGAATAAATTTGTTTATATCTTATAATTATAAACTATAATTTACTTCTTATAAATAGTTAAATTATCAAAACAATTATCTTTCATTTAATTACAAAATTTTGTTTTATAGCGAGCACGATAATTAAAACAGGTTATTAGATTAAGGAAAGTGAGTAAACTTTTATAATAAAAGTTTCAAATCAACTTTTTAAAAAGTCCATATGAGTTATAAAATGCACGTGGTTTATTTCAGATTCTTTATAACTTTTTTTGAATCTTTATTTATTATTTAATTTTATTGAACCTTTTCAACATTGTTTTCTGGATTAAAAGCTATTTTTCTCCCTAATTTTTTTAAAGGAGTGCTAGGCACTCTACATTGAAGGCTAGGGCAATATCTTCTCTAAATAATTTTTTTTTTGAGTAAATCGCCCTTTCCTCATAGATCCATTCCCTTCTCTATTATTTGTTGAGGTAAAATAGTTGTGGGGCTCACGAACAATTATAGAAAAATATTTTGACCCCTTTTGCCATGATTTCCCTATTAAAATAGGCAAGTTGCCATTGCCACTTTCAGCCCCTTTGGCCCATATTAAATGGTCAAAATGGGTTATAATGTCTTATTGTCATTATATTTGAGTCTCACAATTATTCCACTTTAGCAAAGATAACAAAGAAGATAACATGTCTTTGACAGAAGAACAAGTTTGCTCTTTAAAAAAAATTAGAGAGGAATATTGCCTCACTTTTTAGTATAAAATGCCCAATGCACCTCAAAAAATATTTAGGGAAAAAATTAATATTTAACCTTTGTTTTTATTTTTTTAATATTTTTCAATTGAACTCAACAAAATTTAAAGTTTTTTTTTCCAAAAGGAAGCACTAAAATAATATTGTTAAAAAGGACCGTTGCGTCAATGATGCTAAAAGTATACCATGAAGTGCACAATTAAAGAGCATGGGTCCATTAAAATCTCATTCCATCAGAGAGAGGCCAATCCTTTGGTGGTTGTGTTGTGTTGTGTGGTGGAATCCCACTCCCATGTATAATTAAATCCTCGAGAATGAGATTCTATTGTCAAACAAGAAACTAATTATTAAACATATTTTGGTAAGAATTCTTATTCTCATTTCATTTTCTTAGTAACTATTACAATGTTCTAATTAGCACAGTAAATTAAAGTAATAAATTCCCAACACGCAATGGTGTGGTGTACATATTTTCTTCTTTTAAATATTATCTTATATATAAATCTCCTATATAAATTTAAGGACTTGCTTCAATTCCTGTTGTGGATATTACTAAAATGACGTTTTCAGACCGAAGTTTTGTTTCTTTGTTGACTTTTGTTCTTATTTTTGCCCCATCTTTCCTTTTCAAATTGAAATTGTTATAAATTTTTGAGGTGATAAAATTTTTAGTCTCTCATTTTAAATTAATTATCGATTTGGTTCTTTAAGTTTATTTTTTATCAATTTGGACCCTTATATTTTCTTAAAATATGATATTAGTCCTCTAAGTTTTAAAAAATAATTTTACTCTCAAATTAATTTAATGTGTAAAGTATTTTGATGACTTGACATATATATGTAATTGAATTAGAACAATTCAACTCTCAAATTTGTTTAATTTTTATTAAGTTAGTCCATTGCCCTGTGTTTTTTTTTTATTTTTGTGTCTATTTTTTGCCTAAATAATTACATATTATTTTTATTAATCTAAAAGGTTGTTATCAATATTTCGCTGTCAAGTCAAAAAATTTGAATATTATTACCTCCTATTTAAATAATAAAAATTAAATTTAATAGATTAAATTAATAATTAAGATAAATTTAAAAAATTAAAAACTTCATTATCCCTGTATTTTTGGTGAATTATTGTTTTGTGGTCTGATTTGGACAGCACAAAAATATGTAATTATAAGGGTATAAATGGGTTATAATAAAAGAATAAAAAACATGTTCATTACCTTTCCTATTTTGTAAATCGGATGTGGATCACGTTGAAAAATAGAACGTACAATTATTGAGAACGTGTCAACGCTGTTACCCGTTGTTGGATGAATGAAAGCCATGGACGTAACCTGCCTACTGGGCAGCTTTAATTTCTCATAACAATAATTTCAACGACAGGGGGCCAGACGTCTGACAACTAGAACCATCCAAATGAAAAGCCATGTGGTTTTTCCTTTTTGGACAAAAGCTAATTAGTCAACTTAGCTTGAAAATACGAACTAGTAGCGACACTAGGATCGGATGTGGGTTGATTGCACAGGGATTACGATTTACTGATGTTTTGGAAGGTGACAATAACTTCAATGGGCAGCGAAGTGGGCCACAGCCGATGAAGTCACGTGGGCAACAACAAGCTCGGAAAAATATCTGAACAATCTACAAATGCCGGTTCGACCTTATTAATTGAAAACTAGTCAGGTAATCAATCCAAAAGTGATGCATAATCAAGGAAAGAGGGAATGACCTTTTTTTTTTAAATAAAATGTTACGGAAAACCATACAAAAGACTAATGTTATGTAAGTGAGAGAATAACTTTTGAATCATCTACAGTGGATGTAAACTAATCAAAACTGACAATTCAAACAGTCCAAATGATTTTCTTTTTTTTTTCTTCCCCCTAATTTCATAATATGATGTCATTTTTGTATTTTCTCCCATCTTGGGAAAACAAAAGGGAAAAAAAGCTCACGCAAATCGAATCTTAACCCTGAGCCTCTTGGCTCTTGTGGTCGATCCCAAACCCTAATCCCTCATCTTGTTCAACCATCTTCCTCAATCTCATTGCACTCGTGCTCTATTCCTCAATCTCATCAACATCATCTTAGTTTTGCTCGTGACTATCTTTTGTTGCAAGTTTCTTCTTATAGTCTTCCTCAATTTCTTCTAGCCGTCTTCATCATAATCATGCAGTCATGCTTGTGATCATTTACTCATCCTTAGTCTTGTAGCTCCATCTTCCTCTATCTCATATCTCTATCTTCCTCATCCCTCTAGTAAGTGTGTCTTGTCTACCTTTTGGTTAACAAGTCAAAGCTCTATCTTCTATTATTTAATGGTTTCGGTGCATAATGCTAATTATGATTTTGTAAATTTTGATTAATCTTACATTTATTTTATAGATATGGATGCCCCTACTCTAGCCCCAATGTGTAAGTTAATAATCCAAGTCTTGCCACTAGTACTCTTAGTTCTACTCCAAATAATGCGTCTAACTATTCCAAATACTAGTTCTACCCCACAAACTGTTGTTGGTTCTAATAGTAATACCTCTATCCTTCAAGTATCATCTACATACCATCTCTTTAGGTAAAGACTGATCCTACATGGGAGTATATTGCATTTAAAAAAGATAGAAGAACTTGTGTGTATACTTGCCTTCATTGCTTGTTGTCATTTAGAGAAGGTGGGATAAATAGGATGAAGCAACATATTGTAAGTGTTTCGAGAAATATAACTTCTTGTATGTTAAGTTTTCACATGATGTTCACTATAGGATGATACCATCTTTGAAAGAAGTTTCATTGGCAAATAAGAGGAAGGTTGATCATTATTGTGTGCTTGAAGAGCATGTTGATAACCCATAATGTGAAGTATTTACTCCAAATCCAAAGCTAAGTAATCAAACTAAGAAGGCAAGTTCTAGTATTATTGCATTGAAAAGAAGGAAAAACTATTAGTGGTGGCAATTATTTTGCCCCAAGCACAATACTTGGCTCTCAACTAGGCCATAAGAGTGCATTGTCATCTAAAGTAGCCCAATATAAAGCTAAGATGGTAGCTGCTAA